TTGAGTATAGGGCAGTATAGGTTAGTGCAAATTAATGCAAAATGAAATAAGAAAAAATATAATAAAACCCTTTATGTATAATTTTCAAACCTTTGCTGGAATGTAAATATCCGTTGAAAAGTAATTAAATTATGAATGGTTTGATATAGGTACATTATTCTACACAAAAAGTTCAAGAATTGAAGGTGAGTTAATGCCAAATAAAAGTTTATGCGTTAATCAATTTAATTCGCGAGTGATATGTTCAAGAAACAAAATTGATCTTATAATTAAGGTTGCTAAATATCTTTCAAGTTTTTTATAATAATGTGTTTTAATATATTACCATTCAACAAAAACTGATCAGATTGCTCTAACAAAAAAGCTTAATGTTCATGCGAGTTTTTATTTCTTGTAATTTTCCCTAATACCGTGCATTGGCTCTTTTGGCTCCAAGATGTTTATATATTTTATCCGATGGTAATTTAGCGGCGACATGCCCACTGGTCGTAATACCGCATCTGCGCATTCGACCCAGGTTCTCTTTGAAGTGTACCCCTGCGCGGGTCTAGGCGAGCATGCGTCCCCGTAAACGCCTAGCTTTGACTCTTTCTCCGCCAGACGTCGGTCTCAATACCCCATATTCGAACTCTCTGGTTATTAGAACGTGAGACGGGAAATAACCGAAGGAATTGAGCCGGAATCGAATTCGCGCACTGGGGGTTCAATAGGGCCACTCGCCATCCGTCGCTCCTCTCAAGACTGATTGATTGATTGATTCATTCATTCATTCTGGATTCCGGGCTCGACAACAGTTTAAGTCATTAGCCCCGTAAGTGTCATGCATGTTTTGCTCGGGGGATGGCTTATGTCTTCGTCCTCTGGCGAGATCCGGTTACTACCTACCGTCGGCTGGCGGAGTTTTCCCCTTCTACGTATCTCCCACCAGCGGGGCATCGCCCTGCCTGATAAGCTCTAAGCTCCCGACCGGCATCCCAGCCCGTGTGGTAGGCCTGGTGCCCTTGGGCCTCTGGCTGCTCACTCACTGGGCGATGGGGTGCTTGGGCTCTGTGGGGTCGACCGAGGAGGACAGCAGCGACATCCAGGGGCAGCACTCGAAGTGCACGTCGCGCTCCTTGCTCTTCACGTACAGCTGCGGCAGCTTCAGCACCTCGTACCCGTGGCCGATGCGCTGCGCGCGGTACTTCTCGATGCCCTGCTCACGTCCATGCCCACAAATGAATCGCGATCCCTCAGTTCCTCCTCTCTCCACTATTTTTCAGAAGAAAGAAACTGAATTCCTATTTAACCCTGTTCTGCACCAAACGAAAACTTTAGCCAGATATTACACCCATAAATCGCGGATGGTGTTTTTACCAGATGATGCTTTTATATTTATAACTTGTATATGTACATTATTATATCATGTGATCAACACTTCTCTAAATCTGTAAATAATGAGCATGAGGGATTTCTGCACCAATCGATTAAAATGTAAAGATTGGCTTCTCTGAGTTCCAGCATTATAAACATGATATTCATCCAGCATTATATTCATTCCACTAAAATGCGAAGTATACTTCACGACCATTAATATACAGAATGTCCAAATACACGTTTCTAGTTGACAATTGTCTTCATGGAACAAATCCGGTATAAGCCTGTGCATTTGTTTTATTTATTCACCACAGAGACACAATAAAATCGCCCCAAACCCGCGATGATCAAACAAAAAAGCGCCCAAGGTAAACATATTTAAATGGACTGCATAGTACTTCAGGATCTCGCTCTTAAGGAGCAGTGATGAAGCGAGCCAAGCGGTGACGGCGAGAATACCGTGCAGACGCCTCCAATTCCTTGGAAAACGGCAACGTCTCCTTCCTAGCTATTGTTGAAATGAGAATCTAAGCTAGTCGTTAAACGTTATCACGGAGAATGGATTTGGTTCACCATTCACAAACAAATGAACTTGGTTGGTTATGTACCTCGTCTAGCGACTCGATTTACAAGCTTCAACCGTAACTATACGTGGGTTTTTATTTCTTGACGCGTGAGAGACTGTCTCACGGTTTTGAGCGTCTTTCTCGGTCAGCATGTTGCAAGATCACGTCGCATGATGTCGCATGATCGCAACCGTATCAAGCAGTGCTGGCGATCATGCGACAACTAGCGGCATGTCCGAGAAAAACGCGAAATGCCGTGAGATATTCCATTGTGAAGACAGGTCTCCACGCGCCAAGAAATAAAAATCCGAGTATACTAGAAAACACCCGATCACGGAACTTGCTAAGGTACTTACTCGTTGAACCATGTAGGCCGAACCCAGTAATCCCGCGTGGACAGTGCGTGATATGCCGAGATGCGCGGCCTGCATAAACGCCTTCACCACTTCACGTGATAAAGGCACTTCCTCCGTTTCTGCGACAAAGATTTCGTTCATGTGGAATGGAAAACATCCGTTCCAGCTACGCTGCTAAGTTGAACTCAGCCGATGTCTAAAGAAGACATCTAAAAGTCCTCTTTTCTGATCGTTATATGTCAATGATTACTCCTAATAACACCGGGCGATTGCTGGAACACAACAAACCGGCCCCGGGCCGATTTTGATTCTGGGCGCATCAACTGTTAAGGTCATTAGTGTCATATGGCGGCGACGATGGTGTAATGGTTAGCGTACTGGACTGTTGTACCCAAGTTGGCGGGTTCAAACCCGATCGAAGCCGTGGATTTTTAAGGGCGAAAAAATCCTTCGTACGCCTTCCTTCGGAGGGGAAGTAAAGCCGGCTGTCCCATGTTCGTAGATTTACTTGCATGTAAAAGATCCTCAAGCCTAAATGACGCCTCTGAGCTAAATTCAAAATCGCCTGTTTCTCGCCCAAGAAATACCTCCTTTCTCTCTTAGTCGGTGAAAGGAGCGTAGCGAAATTTGCGTGGTCAGACGGAAGAGCGGGCCTGATGGCCCGAGTCTCGCCACGTAAAATAAGGCAAATTCAATTCAATTCAATAAGTGAAGAGCATCAACTTTGCATCAAATGCTTTTATCGCGCTTGAATCTTACCCCGTTAGATGGCGAGATCCTGCGCCGACCTACCGTCGGCTAACAGTGTTTTCACCAACAAGGTATCTCCCACCAGCAAATCACCACCACAAACGCGATACGCTCTAAGCCCCCTACCGGTCCCCCAGTAAGTGTGATAGGGTCGTCCATGTATGTGTATGGGTGATGTTAGGACAAGGAAGAGGAAGGAAAGATCACCTGCAGTCCGTGATTCGTTTGTTAGGGTAATGTTCTGGCAATCGCCTGATGTTGATCGGAAAAATCACGGAAAACTACCGTTTAGAGCAGCCGGTCGCTAGAATTCTGCTCCAGACAGAGGCTGAATTCGAAGAAAGGTTTATTGTGTCGAAAAAAAGAAAGTAAAACTACTGATCTCTCGTATTCATTATTTTCTTCACTGTAGCAACAGATATCAATAAATGCATGTCAGAATAAATTGTTCAAAAACGCCAAACTGCACATTTTCCCTTCAGGTTTTTGCGTAAGAAAATTCATATCTTGATCGGATACCTTACTATAAATTTTATTACCATGTTACACCAAAGTTCTTTCTCCTACCACGCATTTGAAGGCACGTCACTCAGATACCGTATGTTATGTTTCCTAATAAAATGAAACCATTTACTATTACAAAAACAATTATAAATCTCAAATTAATGTTTTGGTGCACAAAACAGGGAAAGTGTAAATAAGATAATGCCATTGTATTGATACTGACATTGTGTGTTTTAGACCGCTTAGAACTAGAACGTAGTGAAATGGTCTATATGTAGACAACTCTCCTGAAACCGAAGTGTATATGTTATGTACTTGCAGTAACTAAAGTAAAGTTCTTGCAGAATATAATAAGTGTATTGTAACGAATATATCATCACCTGCCGCAATTCGTTGCGCGGATTGCGTCATCTGCCGGCGCCCCCCTTCCCCCCGAACTGGACGGTTCCGAGTTATTCGCGAGTCGCGTAGAAGTGTGGCGCACGTTCCCGATGGCTCGAGGCGAGCGCCGGTCAGGTATAAATTCACCGCTGACGGCGGCCGCTAGTCAGTAAGTAGTTAAGTAGTAGTAGTCGGAAGTAAGCAGCCGCGAGTCAGTCAGTAAGTAGTAGAAGTAGTAAGCAGTCAGTCCGTCAATGTGAGTATGCAGAAGTCTGTCTTAAATGGAAGCTGAGCTGCGAACAGTGTGCATTGCGACGAACAGTAGTGCAGTGGATGAACAGTCATTAGTCTGAAATCTGCAGTGGAAGCTGAGCTGTGAATTGTTCATCGCAGTAAACAGCTCTGCTGTGAACCCTGGTCTGCACAGTGTATTGTGGTATGTGCTGTGAATTGTCGTCTGCGCAGGGAATTGTGGTCTGCGCAGTGGATCGTGGACATTACATCGGAGTGTGCAATAGTGTAAAAGTCAACAGCGTAAATAAATTGTGTGAACAGTGCAGTGAACAGTGTAAATAAATAAACAGAAGAAATGAACTATGTAAATAAATAATAAAGAGAACAGAGTCGTGTGTAAGGAAAATAATCAAGTGAAGAACACAAAGACTGTGTTCTGTAAAATATCTGTAAATAAAATATCTGTATATATATATATATATATGTATATATATAAAGGAATATTTTTTAACACATCAGGCGTAACTATTCTAAAAATCATTTTATTGTTGACAGGCAAGTGAATTTCGCTTCTGAAGGGTGGCCTACATTCATTGCCGGTGTTACACACTTTCGATTATACTCCTCTCAAAAAATCGTTCACTTCTAATCCTCATTTGTTCATGTTAACTTCCTGACGAGGACATAAATACTGGTTTCGTATTTCATTATAACAGGTTAAAAGAAAAATTGTGGAGAGCCACTCACGCAACCCCGGTAGTGCGGGTTCCTTCTGTGTGTTTTCGTAGGGCATATGCAAATCAATGCCTACGACTCCGTCGTCCTGAAACTGCTGAACCAAACTAATTACATCGCTGCAGCCATTCTTTCCAGCGACTAGAGTGAGGATCGTTCGAACGACGATGCCAAATTCGCGCTCGCCCACTCTGAAGCCTCGATTTATGGCCATCACCACCTCGGCGAGATCTGTTAAGCAAATTTGACGTATGCGGAAATCATCACTAGAGTAAAAATTGAATAGTAGCAGTACTTAGAATTGCAAATTTAACACTCATTACTTTAACTTAATTTAATTTACTTCATACGATCATATAAAACTTGATAATCGCATAGGAGTGTTTGAATATTAATTATTACCATTTCAACATGAGAGTTGTGAATAGAATAGTGGCAAACGAGACGATGTTACAAAGAACCTCGTGCACGTAATTTGTATTGAAGTCTCTCGGAGAATGGAAAGCTTTGGATGAAATAGAGCATAAAAATGCGCATTTCCAGAAACACTCATAAGACATTTTCTTAAAAAAGGCTCCAAATTTTCCAATGAAAATGTACATTTGTATCCAGATTTTACCCTTCAATAATTTTATTAAAGATATGGTACAGTTCTATCATTAGGGAGCCGAAGCATTGAGAGAATGTGAAAAAAATCTTGTGGCGGCAATGAATGGCAGTTAGGAAGAGGGTGCAGCAAAACCGAAAAGTTAGTCAACACTAAAGAGATTATATAATGCCTAAAATGAAAAAGACTGCACCATTCAGTAGCAACACTGGTTCCTTATAATTTTCAGCTACATGGTATAATCTATACAGCTGTTTCGATGGTATTCACGTGGAGTACCGAGTAGCGTCGGAGGCGCACGTTAAACAACGCTCGTGTGAGGAGGCATCGACGCACGTCGTTTGGTGACGCGCGTTAACGCAACGCTCGTGTGACTCCGGCCTAACACGTGTTTACAATCCTCCAACAGGAATGGTAGATCAAAATATTGAAGACCTGTAGCAAAAATGCGTGGGAATGTCGTAAGGACATATGTGACATTAATGGGCAATACCATAATGAGTAAAAGCAATCCATGATAGCAGCAAGTGTTAAAGGTTTCCACATACCGTACACATGTAGTCCATCCGTTTCCAAATATCAGATAGAGGTAAAAAGAGACCTCCTTTCTATAAATGGCCGATGAATTGTCCCACAATTGTCTTTAGAAATTAAGATTAGTCATCAATTTGTTTAGCATTCGACAAACATTCTTTATAAGGAAAATAGTTGAAGCACATTATATTCCACTGACGAAACTTCGAAAAAGGAGTATGAAGCCAAACCGAAAATGCATGAAGCTTTCTCAAATTTTCTGTTTCGATATTTGATTTGTTTCTACAAATTATGAAAATTCTCAAAGGCATCAAGCTTCGCGATAGGCTTCAAAAGCATTACTAGGATCAACAATGACAACTTAACTGACGATATCTTTTGATTGCCACTCTTTTCGCAGTATGACCAGAATATAGCTGTTGAGTGAATTTAAAAAGAAAGTTATAAATTTTACTGATGATAAATAAATCTTAATAATAAAAATTGTTGCTTTATTTCATTTACAACCCTCTTATTTTAAAATAATAATGAATGACTACATTTAGTCTCAACTCTTTTTATGAGATGCTGGCTAACAAACCTTTTCACAGTTAACCTCAATCATAATTACAAATGTATATTACAAAAAAGAACAAGTATAAACATTATTAATTTCTCTTCTGTGATAAGGTTTCTGAAATTTTATTGCTTAGAAAACTCACAAAATGAAATAAAAAATGTGATAAAGATTTACATTATCGATTCTTTTAAGCATGCTTGGCAAAAAAGCGACGGAAGTTTTTAATCAGAAATAAAAATATCAGTAAAAAGCTAAGTAGCATAATATTTATATTACAATATTTGGTTATGTTTTCTAAGTCAATGATTTTAAACCTAAATCGTGTCAGCGATTTTACCTTGAATGGCTCGAGCTCGTGGAACCGGTAATTTCTTTCCCAACAGCATACGGGGAGAATAGCGCACTTCAACGTAGAGAACTCCTTCTCGCACTTTGTCCTCACAAAATTCATACGCAATTCGTTCCAGAGCGTTTAAATCTCCCCTGTAGTAGAAACAACGTATAAAAACCATATCATTTCTTAGCGCTATGATACTACGCAGATACAACAAATGAAGAGAATACGAACTAAATAGCATACAGCGGCTCAAAAAAGTATTTTAAATGTAAAATGTAATGAAATGGGATAATACATTATTATACAGTCAAATAAGAATTCTAGAAAGAGAACTACGAAGGATCCGTAACATTAACACTGCTGGTGCTGAAACAACATGCGGCATAGTTTAAAGACGAACGGACGAACAGACAAAACGTTTTGCTGTTCCCTAATGTTAGAGAATTCGTTTTCGAATTTTATCCACTGGATTTATCCACTTTTTTTGTTAGCGGGGCTCTGTAATAAAGAGTTTTGCCGAAAATTGGCCGTTTTTTTGCATTACATGCTTGATACTTTCTCTCTATTGCGTAAACGGTAGCGAGAAAGTAAAAGGCACGAGAAAAAATGATTAGAATATAGATGTAATTTATGTATAAATAAATAAATAAATAAATAAATAAATAAATAAATAAATAAATAAATAAATAAATAAATGAAATAAACAAAACAAACCCATGATGTGAAATCGTTCCAGCCAGTTCTGTGAGAACAACACGAATTTAAGACTGGGGCACGAGTTTCTTTATGACGAAAAAGCGAAAGCAAATGGATAAGCGCCGTTTAATGGATATGAAAGAGATATGGATATGGAGAAAAGAAATGGATATGAAAAGACAGCTTTTAAAATAATAGTCATTTGCATAGGCCAATTTGGATCCCTGTGCTGGCGCATTTTCTGGTTAACGGCGGTGCTCCGTCTTCGATAGCCTCAGTTGATGTCAAAGATCTTTCCCGGCTGAGGTGGCTGAGGACATCAGTTGATGTCACTGCAGTGCCTCTGACCAGGACGTCTCAGGATTCCGGCGTTAACAAGATGTTTCACAATGGCTAGATAGACAGGTCGAATTTAGTCTCTAGCGGCCGGCTTCTCTGATCTCTTTAAGTTGTAGTTGATCTCCATCTGTTGTAGTCGTAAGAATAGTCATAACTGTTTTTTTTAAATGTGAATATATAACTCATTATTACAAAAAATGTAATATTTTAAATAAATATTATTCATTACGATGTTCACAAACAAAAACTAAAAGTAAGCAAGCATTTCATGGAGTCACTATTAAAAAAATCTAATACAATTATTTTAATGCAAATTCCAATTTCCCGCTTGGAATGTTGAATTTTTCTCATTGGACGGAATTGGGCGTATTCACATCCATATGAAGACGGATGTTTGTACGAAGCTTCTGACAACCATGATACACTTCAATACGTACACGATGCATTGCAAGTAGATGGGCACAGGTTCGAAGAACATGCTTGGAGGTACGGGCTCCGTCAGCACTATCGCCTCCTTTATCGCCCTCACAGAACCGTCTCCAGGCAGCGTCATTTTCTTCCTTCTACCGCAGGTCAGAGAAGGAGCAATCAGTACAAGCCACACTGGAGGTAAACAAATTGACATTCTCTCACCCTCGACAGTCGGTCACGCTCGTTTGGTGCACGGGGTACCGTACACCAATCGAGACATACGAGGTGTCAATCGAAGCGTCTCGGACTCCGGATGGGAAACTGGTAATTTGTTTTCGCCTTAATATTCTAAGAAATTAACAAAACGTGTTTTTTTCGGGTTTGCGCGCTGCAATCTTGATGAATAAGTCGGGAAGCCAATGCCAACTAAATAGATCCAAATTGTGGTGCTAAAACACCACCTACATACTCCCCCGCACTTTCACACAGAATTACGCGAAAAGTACTCAAATTTACGAAAAATTGTTAACGACTTTATTTCTAAATCTATCTTTAAGAAACTAATGTAATTAAGGGGAAACCTCTATCATTAATATGTTAGATGTAAGAAGACGCCGAAAAATATTTGAAGTTTTGTAATTTTTAAATATTAGGGTATTTAGCAAAAATAAGACCTGCACCATTGTCTTAAACGTCTTTTGTACTATCAATAAAAATAATAATAAAAACACGATGGAGCTTTTATGTTGTTGAAAATTTTGAAAATGTTCTGGGAGCTTCATGTAAAGTATCCCCTATTATAAATTTAAGTTTCAAATTCAAGGGGCCGCGGGATCAGCCAGACCGACTGAGAAACATCAGTTTTGGAGAAAATCGGCTGAACCAGTTTTACCGCTAGCTCTGTTTACAGACGGAGACGTTTTGACGTCAATCAACTTTTCGGTATCAAAACATGGATTATGGCTACATCACTTATTAGAGAATTAGCATCTGGATATAACCACTTTCACGTTACCAGAAACCTGTAATAAGAGTTTATCTATCAAAAATTCGCCTTTTTTCGCACAGAATTACATAACTTCCTCACTACTTCGTAGGGAAAAAGTATAGACTATCAAGAAGTACCCTTTCAATGATCTGTACAGAGAGAGATGGAAGTGGAGAAAACTAAGAGGTTATAGTTGTGGACTGACTTCATGAGCTGCCACAAATCATGGATTATGGCTAAACCATGTATTAGATAATTAGCATCTGGATATATCCACTTTCTCGTTACCAGAGCTCTGTAATAAGAGTTTGTCAATCAAAAATTCGCCTTTTTTCGCACAGCTTACATAACTTTCTCACTACTTCGAAGGGAGGAAGTAAAGCCAATCTAGAAGACCATTTCCATGAACCGTACAGAGAGAGATGAAAGTGGAGAAGACTAAGAGGTTATAGCTGTGGGCTGACTTCATGAGCTGCTACAAAATATGGATTCGTGCTACACCACGTGTTACAGAATTAGCATCTGGATATATCCTCTTTTTGGTTACCAGGGTCCTGAATTAAGAGTTTATCTGCCGAAACTTCGCGGTTTTTTTCGCGCAGCATTACATAATTTTCTCACTACTTCGAAGGGAGAAAGTAAAGACAATTTAGAAGTACCCGTTGCGTGAACTGTACGGAGGGAAGTAACCCGAGATGGCTGACATCCTTAACTCACGCCCAAGGGTGAAAGAAACTGTTATCGTTCACTTCATGAGCTCCCAGATGGTCTCACAGTGCCCAGAGCCCTCGAGGTGCGCGTGCAGCTCCAAATGAATCGAATCACCTACGAAGTAGTTTCGTCACAGCAAGGAGAAAGCATAAATCCAACTCCTCAATTGCACCGAGAGCTGCCTACTTCATGAGCTCCCAGAGCGTCTCGCAGTGCCCAGAGCCCTCGAGGTGCGGGTGCAGCTCCAAATGAATCGAATCACCTACGAAGTAGTTTCGTTACAGCAAGGAGAAAGCATAAATCCAACTCCTCAATTGCACCGAGATCTGCCTACTTCATGAGCTCCCAGAGCGTCTCGTAGCGCACGGACCCCTCGAGGTGTGCGTGCGTTCATGAGACTAGAGAGGAAGCATAAACACAACTCCTCAATTGCACCGAGAGCTGCCTACTTCATGAGCTCCCAGATGGGCTTGTAGCGCACGGAGCCCTCGAGGTGCGCGTGCAGCTCCAAATGAATCGAATCACCTAGGAAGTAGTTTCGTCACACCAGGGAGAAAGCATAAATCCAACTTCTCAACTGCCCCAAGAGCTGCCTATTTCATGTTGTCTAGGCGTATCCGGGACGAGCCGCGTCAATGTCATGGTGGCTAACGTTTCGGCCAGCGTATTATGGCCTTCTTCAGAGCGTACTGCTCTGCTCTTGAGCAGTACGCTCTGAAGAAGGCCACAATACGCTGGCCGAAACGTTAGCCAACATAATGTCCGGCCGCGGAAGCCTACGCCACCATATGCCTACTTCATGAGCTCCCAGATGGTGGCGTGGCGCACGGCGCCCTCGAGGTGCACGTGCAGCTCGACGCGCGTGCCGCGTCCGGCGGCGATGAGCGGCCGGCCGGCGAACATGGGAAAGAGCGGGTTGGGGCCCGCCACGCGCGAGCGCTTCAGCAGGCGCTCGATGGCGTTGGACGCCTGCGGGCCCGGCGCGTAGAAGCTGCGCGGCGGCAGCGGCAGCGGCAGCGACCGCGGGCTCGACGTCTGCACCGGCCACGAACGCTCGCGCCGCCGCTCCTCCGCGTCGCTGCCGCCAAGAGGCACGTCGCTCACACACACAGAGATGCAGAGCCACTCGCACCAAGACCCAACACTGTATACAAGCACCGCTGCCAAGCAGAGGCCACTTACACCAAGTCCCAACATGTTATCCAAGCGCCATTGCCAAGCAGAGGCTACTCACACCACGTCCCAACACGGTATACAAGCGCCGCTGCCAAGCAGAGGCCACTCGCACTAAGTCCCAACACGGTATACAAGCGCCACTGCCAAGCAGAGGCCACTCACACCAAGTCCCAACACGGTATACAAGCGCCGCTTCCAAGCAGAAGCCACACACACTAAGTCCCAAAGCAGTATACAAGCGCCGCTGCCAAGCAGAAGCCACACACACTGTCCCAAAGCAGTACACCAGCGCCGCTGCCAAGCAGAGGCCACTTGCACCAAGTCCAACGCATTACCCAAGCGCCGCTGCCAAGCAAAGGCCACTCACACTAAGTCCCAACACTGTATAACAGCTCCGCTGCCATCCAGAGACCACTCACACTACTGGAAAGTCCTAAGGCATTTTCCCATTCTTCCTTACATATTTTGTACTGTATTTCATATTTTCCTTTTTTCACACAAAAAATATTATGTCAATTCATTGATTAATTGATTAGTTGTTCCGGGCACGTCAACTGCCTAGGTCATTAGTTCCGTAAGTGAAGTGCATGTTTTTCTCTTGAGGTGAGGGTGAATTTTCTCCCCGCTATATGTCGAGATCCGGCGCATATCGTCTGGTAGCGGGGTTTTCCTCGACCAGATACCTCCCACCAGCTGGAACAATCTCTCAGCTCCCCACCGGTCCCCCGGCATGTGTGGTGGTTAGTGTAAGTGTGTTACGACGCATGTTAGTGTAAGTGTCGAATAATCGAAGAATATTCATTTAGGAAAAAGTCTAACAAATA